CTTGAGACACCCGAGTGCTTCAAACACTACTGAATCTGGAATTTTTGGAACTTTTTAGGATAGCCTAAGTTTAAACACGTTTTACAAAACAGTTGAGAGTTTACAGCTCCGATTTCTCTTGTTTCGCATTTTCCGGGTACAGCCGAATTTGCCTTCAGAAGTCAACTAATTTGGAAATTGTTCTCAAATCTTTGCGAAGAAAGAAAGAAATCCTATCAGAAAGAGGAGAAAAAGCTATACGTAATGATACCCTAACTGCGCCATTTGGTGTTCTAAGAGGTTTGGGGCAATCCATATGGAATTTACTAGCATGAAAATTTTAAAAGTTTGAACCAGATGCCAAAAAATTGCATTGCATTGCATCTTGTTTGCCCACTTTGTTTACTCTATCTGTCTGCAAAACTCTTTGTTTGAAAATGAAGTTTGGAAGAATCTTAATTTTGCCATAGTAGATTATTTTGGTAACCACAAAGAAGCAAGTTCAAAAACATGACTGCTGGAAAGAAAAATTATGATAGGTTGAAAAAAGGAAAGAACTTCTGAAACGACTTAATATGAGAAGCTGGCAACGATTATTTTACAAACTCGTTTCCCGCGCTATAAACAAACACGTTCGAGATCTTTTCTAGCAGCTGAGTACCTACCCACTCACTTAGCTGCGCTCATATGCAGTCAAACAGTTCTAATTCAAACAACTTTCAATGTTTCTCTAGCTGTGTCATTCTTGTTATTAAAGTTTGCTTCCTCTTGAACGAATTCCTTGTAGCAAAATACAGTAGCAGATAAAAGAAAAAATATTTGCTTTCTCCTGTCTACTCTCTTCTACGCAGCTCTCAACTAATAATTTTTAGTCGATCCGCCGAGGAGCCTAAACTGCATTTTCGTTGGTGACATGTACAACTACCGGGATGACGTTGAATCGTATACTGCTGTAAGCGACAAAAGAGTAGTTTCATTACTTTGCTCCTTATAATTCAAGGAAGCAGAACTCCTTTCTGCGGTTGCCTTTGACATTTTCGACGAGACAGATGCGAAGATTGGCTTATGGGCATATGGAAATACAGATCTCCCAAAAAATGTTAGTGAAACACTCAAGAACATGAACAATAACTACGACGAGCTAAACAAAAGACTATCGAAGATGAAATATGTTGAAATAAGTAATCCGAAAACCACTAGAATGTAAGCTTCAGATAAACAAAGAAACATTTTCAAACTATATCGAATGTCTAGGGCGGTTGACATGATTAATGATATGTACGACAGGGACGGACGAGTAAATTGCCTGGTTTTTCTTAGCGCCAAGTATGTAGTATCTTCCAACAGCTATCCATCACTATTCAATTTTCGTTACTTTCAGAAAAGATACAT